TGTAAATTCAGCCTTGCAGTCTCCCTCTCTCATGAACACTGGACCACTTGGGGTCTACACAAATCATTTAGCTGTTACTATTATTGTATGTTCTTTTCTCATGTGTGTCCTCACCCAGATTATAAGCAACTTAAAGAAACAAACAAGTCGGCTCGGCACCTGTGGTTCAAGCGGCTAAGGTGCCAGCCACATACACCTAAGGTGGCGGGTTCGAATCCCCAGCCTGGGCCCGCCAAACAACAATGATGGTTGCAACCAAAAAAATGGCCGGGCATTGTGGCGGGCGCCTGTAGTCCCAGCTACTTGGGAAGCTGAGGCAGGAGACTCACTTGAGCCCAGGATTTGGAGGTTGCTGTGAGCTGTGATGCCATGGCACTCTACCCAGGGGGATAGCTTGAGGCTCTGTCTCAAAAAAAAAAAAAAAAGAAACAAACAAGTCTTTACTCAGATTTAACAAAACTTATATAGTGACTTCCACAATGTACCGGCAAGCCCCACTTACATAGAGTATCTCATAAAATCTTCCCCACAACCTGATGAAGCAGACGATGGTAGCGCCATACCAGAAATGAGCCCTCTGACATCCAGGGGTCACACAGGTAGTAGTCAGTGGCCAAGTCAGGGTCCAATTCTACATCTCACTCCGAAGCCACTAACCTGGCACAATGCTGTCTTCACCGTGCTGTACCAGCACCATAGACCGTGGATTTCTTTCCCTCACCCCAGGACCCTCCATCTGAGCAAGGTTTTCTGGAACCTTGATGCCCCCTGGTGGCATGTGAGTGCTCATTCCACTGAAGGACTGTGTCCCTAGGCATTTGGGAGAGCTTAGTGTGGACCGCCCTGGAGTAGCAGAGCCCTCCGCACCCAGTGGAGAGCTAACCCCTCTTCCAGAGCTGGATAAATAGACCCCACCCCTGCCAGCTTTTTTTCTTTGTTTTTTTTTTTTTTTTTGAGACAGACTCTTATGTCGTTCTTGGTAGATTGCTATGGCGTTACAGCTCACGGCAACCTCAAACTCTTGGGCTTACGGGATTCTCTTGCCTCAGCCTCCCAAGTAGCTGGGACTATAGGCACCCACCACACACCTGGCTATTTTTTGTTGTAGCTGTCATTGTTGTTTAGCTGGCCCAGGCCAGGTTCAAACCTGCCAGCCTCAGTGTATGTGGTTGGAGCCATAACCACTGTGCTATGGGTGCCGAGGCCTGCCAGCTTTTTTTGGCGGGTCCTCTTTGGAGTTTTGTTTTGTTTTTGCCGGTTTTGGCCCAGGCTGGGTTTGAACCCACCACCTCCAGCATATGGGATCAGCGCCCTACCCTTTTGAGCCACAGGCACCACCCAGTTTTTCTATCTTTAATAGAGACAAGGTCTTGCTTTGGCCCAGGCTGGTCTCAAACTCCTGAGCTCAAGCAATCCGCCCACCTTGGCCTCCCAGAGTGCTCGGATTACAGGCATGAGCCACCACATCTGGCCTGGCATTTTCATTTTCTAAGAGCTCATTTATGAAGGAGGAGAGAAAGAAGATGATAAAGGTGCTTAAAGTTCAGGACTTAAAATTTGTTTACCTTAAAGGTAGCCATAGAGTCCTTTTCTGAAAAGGCATCATCAAGACTCTTCAATAAATACTTACCAAATTCCTACTGTGCCATGTGACACTTGGAATGCAGAGATGGAGAAGAGATTCTTTCTGTCTTTAAAAAGGAAATATTTAAAAAATTACAATATAATGAAACATGTACTCTAATATGAATATCCTGAAATGTTTCCTGTCAGCCCAGAAATGGTTAACCGTACTCAAAACTAGGAGGAAACAATTATCAATACCCTACTAGCTAAAGAAAGCAGAAAGTAATTAGGAGTCAGACACTTCCTCCAACCATCATGGCAGCCCCCAGCACTTGCCTGACTGACTTATATACACTATTCCTCTCCCTGTTTCTATCTCCACTGGGGAAGAATAGCAGTAGGACAGAGAAAGAGGGGGTGCCATAAACAGCCTCCCCGCTCACCTCCAGTGTGGCAAGAGTGTGCAGGCCAGCTGTCATCCTCTTCCTACTTTCTAATTTGTTTCTTTCTGAGAATCCTTTAATCACTGATGTGGCTTTGAGATAACTTGAGATATCCTGGAAATTCATTGGCCAATACAGTAGCTACTAGCCACACATAGCTAATGAATCCTTAAAATATGACTAGTCTGAATGGAAATATGTTCTAAGTGTAAAATATGCACTGGATTTTAAAGATTTGGTATGGGAGGAAAAATATAGAATGTCTAATTAGTAGTCTATTGATTACATGTTGAACTGAAAATATTTTGGATATATTGTTTGAATAAGTAAAATGATATGAAAATTAATTTCACTTGCTTAACATTTTCAACATGGCTAACAGAACCACTAAAAACTTCAGATGTGGCTCACATCAGATTTCTGTTTGGACTGTGCTGTAGGGGTTTAAAAACTCAGAGCCCAGAAGCCAAAAACCTGCTAAGCCTCATACTTCATGGGACCACAAGGGGGCGCCATCGTGTGTCAGGCCTGACTTCAGTAGGAAGTAAGCCGGCTCCTTGGATGATTGGCACAAACTTTGCTTCAAGTACTCCGTTCTGATCTTTCCCAATGCTCTTTTCAAGGGCAGTTTTAAACTGCTTTCTCTAAACTCATGTAGCCCGTATAGTGTTATTCCTAACAAACAATTTCTCTAGAGAGTCCAAGACCCCTGAATTACAGAGTTCAAACTGAAACTTTAAGGAAGCTGTGAGCTTCACTATGACAGCTAGGGAATGAAGAGGAACTCTGAATTCAAGCCCAGAATAGCCTTGGAGCCCGGCCCCAGATTAGTAGGTAGACAGTGAAGCCGGGCACAATAACTCATGCCTGCAATCCCAGCTCTCTGGGAAGCCCCGGCAGGTGGATTGCTTGAGCTCAGGAGTTGAAGATCAGCTTGAGCAAGAGAGAGACCCCATCTCCAAAAAATAACCTGGTATTATGGTGGGCACATGGAATCCCAGGTACTTGAGAGGCCGTGAAGCAAGAGGACCACTTGAGCCCAAGAGTTTGAGGCTCATGCTATGAGCTATGATGCCACGACACTCTACCCAGGGTGACAAAGTGAGACTCTGTCTCAAATTCAAAAAAAAAAAAAAAGGTACACTGTGAGCAAAAGCTGAAGGTGAGAGGATTGGAGGAAACTTAGTGGAAGAAATGATTTAAGGCTTGTGGGGATAGAAGAGTCTAGGGATACATTGCCATTTTTATCAAAATGCTACCAATCTGAGTGTAAACTGACATTATCTTTTGGGGGGGGCAATTAGTCAGTGTATGTCAAAAGTCTTCAAAATGACTATATCGTTTGACCCAGTAATTCCATTTCTATTAACTTAAAAATCTATTTTTTTTTTTTTGGAGACAGTCCCACTATGTCATCTGGGTAGAGTGCTATTGCGTCACAGCTCACAGCAACCTCAAACTCTTGGGCTTAAGCGATTCTCTTGCCTCAGCCTCCCAGTAGCTGGGACTACAGGCGCCCACCACAATGCCCGGCTATTATCAACTTAAGAAAAATTTAAAACTACACAAATATTTAGTTACTAGGATATTCACCCAACATTGCAATAGTCCCCCCCCCAAAAAAAAACAATGCTAGAAGCAACATACGTTAATAAGGATTTGGTTAAATCAATTAAGGCACAGCTGTAGCATGGAATATTTTGCAACTATTACAAAAAATGTAAGTGAATAGTTATTGACATACAAAAATATTTATGCTAAATTCTGTAAATGAGACCAGCCACAGAATTTTATGTCCAGTATGTACGTCAATTTTGCTTTAAAAAGAAGAAAAAACATTAAAAGTATACCTTCACAAAGACAGCTATCTGAAAGATTATTCTCCAAGGATTTAGTAGGTCATCTCTGGACAGTGGGACTATGGGAGTTTCTACTCCTTATTTTTACCCCTACTTTTATAATTAACTTATTAAAGCTACTTTTAAGTAGTCCTACCCAGTCTTCTTTATGAGTTAGCACTCAAATCCCACTTCCTTCCCCTAAACTTTCCTGAACCCTCATCCTAGTTAAGTACCAGCATCCTCACTAACCAACATCCAGTTTGGGGTGTTAACCTTGTTCTGCCTCCTCCTTTAGTCCCTTGTAGCCTGTCTTTCCCCTTTTGAAAGCTCATGTGAGAATAAGATGGAGTTAGGCTAGGGCTGACATGACACAGTCAGTCTGATTGTTTTAAGTCCTGTCTCCGACTCATATTTTTTTAAATATTCGTATTGTTTTGTAAATTTAGCTCCCACCCTAAAGATGCCCATCTTAAATAGTTTAAGAAAATTTAGAAAATTGACTTTTGAATTGGAAATGTAATAAATTATCACTAAGTTATACTAAATATTATTTAAGAGTTAATGTGGTCTTTACTTTGAACCTTTATGTATAAAACTATGATTTTAAAAATAAAAAAACAGAATGAGGTCAGACGCGGTGGCTCACACCTGTAATCCCAGCACTCTGGGAGGCCCAGGTGGGTGGAGTCCTTGAGCTCAGGAGTTCAGAGTCCAACTTGAGCTAGAGCAAGACCCCCTTCTCTACCGAAAAAAAAAAATAGAGAAACTGAGGCAAGAGGATTGCTCGAGCCCAAGTTTGAGGTTGCTGTGAGCTATGACACCACGGCCCCCTACCCAGGGCAACAGCTTGAGACTCTGACTAAAAAAAAAAAAAAAACCTGGAGAGGCTACTCTCACTGTTCTCCAGAATCACAAGCCTCCTGACAAAGTTTGGTGAACCCATCCCGGTCTCTGCATATTCGCTGACAGTGACAGGCGGCTGGACCCTTAGTCCGGTAACACTTTCCAGCCTGTGTGTCTCTTCTCTGTGCCCCTCGCCTAGATGAGACCCTGCGGGACTTTCTGGGTTATTGTAAAACTTAAGATCTGGCCCCTAGGACCTGGGAGTTAGTTGAGGTGCAATCCAAAAGTTAAAAATCACTGCGACAAAATGCCGAGTCAGGAACCGAGGCAGTAGGCCCAGCCGCAGACCTTCGTCCCGTGTAGGAAATAACCCGCGCCGTCTGTTTCTGAAGGGGAGCCTAGAAGAGGCCACCTAGCGCGGCACAGCGCGCCCGCTAACTCTTCTGCAGGCTGCGTGCGGCGGAAGCGCAGTGACGTCTTCCGGCACAGAACTCGGACTCGCGTAGCGATAAATATTGTTCCTTTAGAGGCACCGTCCGCGGGAACCGCCTGCTCGTGTCACATGACCGAGGCCTGTGGAGGAGAAGGACGCGGTACGCGGAAGAGTTTTGGGCCAAAGTGGATGGCGGACGCGATGGAAGCAACCTTGGAGCAGCACTTGGAGGATACGTGAGTAAATGCAGCGACAGATGGACCTGGGTTAGACAAAAGGCGCGAGCTTCAGTGCTGCCCAGGGCGTCTTGATGACGCCGTGAGACTCCTAGGTCACGGGATGAGAAAGGGAGCCCTGCCCAGGGGCCGCCGGGCTGGGCAGGTGACCCTGAATTATAAAATTCTGTCTGACTCTGCACATTGCCTCTCGAGCGAGTCTCCTGGGCCCAAGCTGGAGACCAGACCTTCCTAGAATGTCATCGAAGTCGTCTAAACGGTTAGGGTTGCTCCTCGGGAGTTTTAGGAAACAATACTGGGAAGTGTGCACCAGGGGTACCACATCGAACCGTACAGTGGAAACACACACACACTTCCTTCTGTTTATAACCTATGAAGTCAGTTGGTGGTTAAGGAGATACAAATAATCCTTTTAAGTTTTTCGAATGAGTAATATGTGGAATTCAAAATGGGAAAGGTGTAAGAAGCCATACTGGGAGACACCTACTATGCCCCCAGTGTCCCTGAGCTTCCTACCGCCCTCCCAGACAACCTAAATTTAGAGTTTTCAAGCTGTTTTACAGGAGTTAGTATATTAAAACATGCATTTTTAACAAGGATGAAACATCCTAGATACTGCAATGTTTGTGACTCTCCAAAGCTCAACAGCACCTAACGATTTTTTTCTCTCATTAGAGAGAAACCAGTTTCATTAAAATAATTGGTCATAACTGAATTTTGGTCTTGGGAGTTGGTAATGAAAAGGGTTGAGAAACATTGCTTAAAGCGCTTAAACAGGCTCAGTGCCTGTGGCTCACATGACACCTGAGCTGGTGGGTTCAAATCTTTCCAACGCCCGCCAAACAACAATGACAGCTGCAACCAAAAAATAAGTGGGTACCTGTAGTCCCAACTACTTGGGTGGCGGAGGCAGGAAAATCGCTTGAGCCCAGGAGTTAGAGGTTGCAGTGAGCTGTGATGCTACAGCACTCTCCCCAAGGCTACAGCTTGAGGCTGTCTCCAAAAAAAGCACTTAAACAATGCTTAGCAGGTAGCAAACCTATATGTGTTATATTTATTTAAATCCATTTTCTCACATCTGCTTTATCTCTTTTGGCTTCCTGGAATTAGAATGAAGAATCCGTCCATTGTTGGAGTCCTGTGCACAGATTCACAAGGACTTAATCTGGGCTGTAAGTGTTCCTCATACCATCGTTTTGGTGTATCACACAGATTCTTATGTCAATTAAGAGCCTAGTACACTATTACTCTCCAGCTTTTATTTCCAGTTACCTTACCACTTTGGGGGTACTTTCGTGAGAAAAGGTATTATCTCCAAGTAACAACATCAGAAAACTAAAACTTTTTTCAGTTGTTATTTATGAAGGTAGAAATGTTCTTTGCAGTTCTGGCACTATATAGTTGTCTCTCTTAAAGTAATATTTTCATAATTTTAAATTGAATGTGGAAGGGACTTCAGATAATGACATTTATTACCATTTATGGAATGTATGCCATATGCTGGGGCTGCTGGGCTTTATATACCTGTCTCTGATTTTTACAGCAACTCTCCAAGTGTCCAACAACACTTAACAATAAGTGAATGGGTAATAAAATGGGTTTTAGAGTTGGCATACCTGGTTTTAACACCTGCTCTTTTATGCAAAAGCAGTGTAAACTTGGACTAAAAGGAACCTTTCTGAGCCTCAAGGCATCTTATTCCTAATGGAGTAGAATTTTAAAAATTTAAAGCTGTGAATTTTTTTTTTTGAGACAAGAGCCTCAAGCTGTGGCCCTGCGTAGAGTGCTATGGCATCACAGCTCACAGCAACCTCCAACTCCTGGGCTTAAGCGATTCTCTTGCCTCAGCCTCCCAAGTAGCTGGGACTACAGTCACTCGCCACAATGCCCAGCTACTTTTTGGTTGTAGTTGTCATTGTTGTTTGGCAGGTCTGGGCTGGATTTAAACCCACAAGCTCTGGTATATGTGGCTGGTGCCTTAGCCACTTAAGCTACAGGAGCCGAGCCTAAAGCTGTGAATTTTTGCTGGAAGGGTAACTGAAAGACTTAATCTGTTTAACTGGGTTATGTTTAACATGCAAATCAGTCAATTGGGAGAAAAAAGTGTTTACCAAGCTCACTAATAGGAAGAATGAAATTCAAGTATTATAATCTAAAATTCCACAAGTTCCTTCAAGGCCCAAAACACTGTACCATGTTTGGCAAGTTAATATTTTATATAATAATAGTAAATCTGTGGGCTCTGCTGTAGTGTCATTTCTTTTACCTGACTTAGTTCCCAGCACAATTAAGTTTGTATTGCCTTTATATACAGAAGTATGTTGTAAAGTAAACTTTTTGTACTTACGCTTTAGTTATGCTATAACTAACTATAGTTTAGTTATACTATAACTGTACTTACAGTTTAGTAACTATAATTTAGTTACTATATGCAGATTAACACAAACATTAATAAATAGCCAGTTCATTCGGGCGTGGTGGCCCACACCTGTAATCCCAGCACTCTGGGAGGCCAAGTCAGGAGGATTGCTTAAACTCGAGAGTTTAAGACTAACCTGAGCAAGACCCTGGCTCTACTAAAAATAGAAAAAGAGGATAGGGGTTTGGCTTCTATAGCTCAGCGGCCAGGGTGCCAGCCCCATACACTGGAGCTAGCAGGTTCCAGCCCAGTCCAGGCCTACCAAACAACAATGACAACTACAACCAAAAAACAGCTGGACGTTGTGGCAGGTGCCTATAGTCCCACCTACTTGGGAGGCTGAGGCAGGAGAATCTCTTAAGCCCAAGAGTTTGGGGTTGCTGTGAGCTGTGATGCCACAGCATTCTACCCAGGGCGACATAGTGAAACTCTGTCTCAAAAAAAAAGAAAGAAAGAAAAAGAGTAACAGTTTATCAGTTGAGCCCAAGAGTTTGAGGTGGTTGTGAGTTATGATGATGCCATGGCACTCTACCCAGAGCCACAGAGTAAGACTTTGTCTCAAAAATAAATAAATGGCCAATTTTGTTGACATTTGAAAATAGTTAGCTTATTCATGCAGAAGTAATTATTCACAGAATATTCAGGTAGGCTGTCAAGTTGATCTTACAGCTAAACTCCTGAGTAAAAATGTTTTAAGTTCTTTGAGCTAGGCTTGGTGCCCGTAGCTCAGTGAGTAGGGCACCAGCCACATACACCGAAGCAGGCAGGTTCAAGCCCAGCCCAGACCTGCTAAAACAACATGACAGCTACAACAACAACAACAAAAAAAAAGCTGGGTGTTGTGCCGGGTGCCCTGTAGTCCCAGCTACTTAGTAGGCTGAAGCAAGAGAATCACGTAAGCCTAAGAGTTTGAGGTTGCTGTGAGCTCTGATGTCATAGCACTCTACCCAGGGTGACATAGTGAGACTGTCTCAAAAAAAAAATATGTATATGTGTGTGTAAATAATAATTTCTTTCAGCTCAGTAAAAGAAAATTAGATTTCCTCTTAGGAATTAGTTTTAAGTCTCTTCTCTATTACAGCTTTCTGTCAATCTCACCTCTGAATTGCTTACGGATTTCAATAAGGTTCCTATAGAGTGAATTTATAATTTTTAGATTGACTTGAATTATAGGTTTTCTGATATGCTTGAGAAAGTAGTTGGAGATGTTAATGAGAATGACTTTGAAAATTCAATGTCAGTTACGGCCCTGTCGATTTAAGAACTGTTGTCTGGCTTTCTCTCCAGTGAAACCACCTGAGAATCAGGGAAAAATTGTTTCGTGTCAGTACCTAACCTAAGAGACTATGAACTAAACCTTATTTTTGTGAATAATTCTATGACAGATACTAGTTTAGCTCTGTATATTCATTTTTGCACAATTAGGTGACATGATTATGATCTCTTTTCCAGGCCGTGGGACCCTGTCAGATGAACATGCTGGAGTGATATCTGTTCTAGCCCAGCAAGCAGCTAAGCTAACCTCTGACCCCACTGATATTCCTGTGGTGTGCTTAGAATCAGACAATGGGTGAGTAGATCCAGCAGACCCCTGCCTTTGATTTTTGTTCAGAAAAATCTCTGATAAACCTGAATGAAGTCTGCCCTGTGTTCATCACTATATTCTTTCTTTTCTTTTTTTTTAAGAGACAGAGTCTCACCTCCAGCTCTTGGGCTTAGGCAATTCTCTTGCCTCAGCCTCCCAAGTGGCTGGGATTACAGGTGCCCACCACAACACCCAGCTATTTTTTTGTTGCAGTTTGGCCAGGCTGGGTTCAAACTTGCCACCCTTGGTATATTGGGCTGGCACCCTACTCACTGAGCCACAGGTGCTGCCACATCACTGATTGCTTATCCAAAGTACTGTGGGGGAGGTTTTGGATGCGGGGGCAGAAATATTTATCTCTAATGTACTTTCTGCGACTGACTTTTTTTTTAGAAACCAAGTCTCTGTCGGCCTGGGTAGAGTGCTGTGGCATCATAACTCACAGCAACCTCAAACTTTGATCTTAGAATCAAGCTATTCTCTTGCCTCAGCCTCCAGAGTAGCTGGGACTACAGGCGCCCACCACTAACTGGCTGATTTTTCTATTTTTAGTAGAGATGGGGTCTTGCTCTTGCTTAGGCTGGTCTTAAAACTCCTGAGCTCAGGCTCAGCACCTATGGCTTAAGCGGCTAAGGCGCCAGCCACATACACTTGAGCTGGTTCTAATCCAGCCCAGGCCTGCCAAACAATGGCAGGTGCAACTAAAAAACAGCCAGGCGTTATGCAGGGTGTCTGTAGTCCCAGCTAGTTGGGAGGCAGAGGCAGGAGAATCACTTGAGCCCAAGAGTTGGAAGTTGCTGTGAGCTGTGATGCCACAGCACTCTACCCAGGGTGACAGCTTGAGTCTCTGTCTCAAAAAAAAATGAAAAACTCCTGAGCTCAAGCAGTCCACCCACCTCAGCCTCCCAGAGTGCTAGGATTACAGGCATGAGCCACCACACCGACCCACCACACCGACCAACAATGACATTTAAATGAAGAGTAAAAATTGTCATGAACTATTAGTCTGCCAAAGAAAAGTAATAAAAGAGCACAGTGGGAACTAATCAGAGAATAAAAATTACTTCTAAAGTAATAGAAATACTAAAGATATTCCAAATGAGGGTCTTCAGAATAATATAAATAAATCAGAATACAAAGCTGTGCATGTACAATATAGTGTGTACACAGTATTATAAAAAGGAAAACATATATACAGTCATGCATTCCTTTATCTCTTTCTTTTTTTTTTTTTTTTTGAGACAGAGTCTCAAGCTGTCACCTTGAGTAGAGTGCTGTGGCATCACAGTTCACAGCAACCTCAAAGTCTGGGGCTCAAGCTATTCTTTTGCCTCAGCTTCCCAAGTAGCTGAGACAACAGGCACCCATCACAACACCCGGCTATCTTTTTGTTGTAGTTGTCATTTTAGCTGGCCCAGGCCAAATTTGAATCTGCAAGCATCATTGTATGTGGCTGGCACCCTACCCACTGAGCTACAAGTGCCTTTCTTGAGGATGGGGATATGTTCTGAGAAATGCTTCATTAGGTAGTTTTGTCATTGTGCATACATTATAGTCTACTTACATACATCTAGTAGATAGCCTACTACACACAGACTGTGGTGTAGCCTCTTCTAGGCTAAACCTATACAGCATGTTACTATACTGAACACCATAGGCCATGGTGTAAAAATTCAGTATAAAGGAGTTTTTTTAAAGGTACATCTGGGCCGGGCTCAGTGACTCACATCTATAATCCCAGCAGTTTTGGAGGCCAAGGTGGGCAGATCACCTGAGCTCATGAGTTCGAGACCACCTGAGCCAGAGTGAGAGCCAGTCTATAAAAATAGCCAAGTGTTGTGGCAGGTGCCTGTAGTCCCAGCTACTCGGGACACTGAGCCAAGAGAATCACTTAAGCCCAAGAGTTTGAGGTTGCTGTGAGCTATGATGCTATAGCACTCTACAGGGGCGACAAAGTGAGACTGTCTCTGGAAAAAAAAAAAGGTACATCTGAATAGGGCACTTAACCATGAAGGGAGTTTATAGGACTAGAAGTTGATCTGGGCAAGTCAGTGAATGAGTGGTGAGTGTGTGTGAAGGCTTAGCATGTTACCATACAGTACTGTAAACTATAAATACTGTGTGCCTTAGGCTAATATCTTCAATAATAAATTAGCCTTAGGCGGGGCACAGAGTCTCATACCTGTAATCCTAGTGCTCTGGGAGGCCGAGGCAGGTAGATTGCTTGAGCTCACGAGTTCAAGACTAGACTGAGCAAAAGCAAGACCCCTATCTCTACTAAAAATAGAAAAACTGAGGCAAGAGGATCACTTGAGCCTGAGTTAGAGGTTGCTGTGAGCTATAATGCCACGGTACTTTACCCAGGGTGACAGCTTGAGATTCTGTCTCAAAAATAATAATAATAATAATAAATTAGCCTTTACTATAACTTTTTGGACTTTATAAGCTTTTTTTACTCTTGTAATAACACTTAGCTTTTAACACAGACACATTATACAAAAAATATTTTCTTTATTCTTACTCTATAAGCTTTTTTCTATTTCAATTTTTTTTTTTTGAGACAGAGCTATAGGTGCCCAGCCACTTTTTTCTTTTTAAACTTTTTTGTTAAAAACCGAGACATAAGCACACATCTACACCTGTGCAAGGTCAAAATCATGAACATAACTGCCTTTAGCCACAGACCTGCCTGAAGTTTATAACAACTAAGAGTCCACTCTCAAATAATGATAAAGTGTAGTAAATACACAAACCATGGCTCGGTGCCTGTGGCTCAAGTGGCTAAGGCGCCAGCCACATACACCTGAGGTGGCGGGTTCTAATCCAGCCTGAGCCCACCAAACAACAATGACAGCTGCAACCAAAAAATAGCCAGGCATTGTGGCAGGCGCCTGTAATCCCAGCTACTTGGGAGGCGGAGACAGGAGACTCACTTGAGCCCAGGAGTTGGAGGTTGCTGTGAGCTGTGATGCCATAGCACTCTACCCAGGGCGACAGCTTGAGGATCTGTCTCGGAAAAAAAAAAAATACACAAACCACTAACACTCAATTATTATAAGTGTTATGTACTGCCCATAATTGTATATGCTTTGCTTTTGTACAATTGGCAGTGCAGGTTTGTTTACACCAGCGTCACCACAAACACGAGTAATGTGTTAACACTACAGTGTGATGATGGCTCCAAAGTCACTGGGCAATAGGAATTTTTTGGCTCTATTGTAACATTACGGAGCGACCTTCATATACATGGTCTGTTTTTGGCCAAAACATGTATAGTATATATGCAAATAAGAAAAGAATCAGGGAAAAAAAAATTTTTTTTGTTTGAGACAGAGTTTCACTATATTGCCCTGAATTGAGTGCGGTGGCATCACAGTTCACAGCAACCTCCAACTCTTAGGCTTAAGGGAGTCTCTTGTCTTAGCGTCCCAAGTAGCTGGGACTACAGGTGCCCACCGCAACACCTTACTATTTTTTGGTTAGCAGTTGTCATTGTTGTTTGGCTAGCCCAGGCTGGGTTTGAACCCACCAGCCATGGTGTACGTGGCCGGCTCCATAACCACTGTGCTACAGACACCGCCAGAATCAGGAAACTATTAACATAGTTGTCTTTAAGTACTAGGATTAAGGATTCATCTCAGTTTTATATTTTATACTTTTCCCACATTTTGTTGTATTCATATAGTGCTTGTATAAAAAGAAAAAATAATCCTGTTTTTTTCAGTTGTATCCTAAACCAAACATTTTTTTAATCTCAGATTAATACAAGGGTATAAATGTTTAGGTTACATTGTTTTCATTTCTAAGGTAAAGTTCAAGTTGTAGTTGAGCCCTTCACCCAGGGGGCCTGCTGAACACCCTCACACTGTGCACATTAGGTGAAATCTTACCAATCACTCTCCCTCCTCCCCTCCCTCCCCCTGAACATTTTTAATCTTAACACTGAAGTCTTGCTTATAATGTTTCACTGAATATTTTCCTCTTTGCCTTTCAGGAACATTATGATTCAGAAACATGATGGCATCACAGTGGCAGTGCATAAAATGGCCTCTTGACATCTCGTATCAGCTCTCTAGTAGCCTTTCACAGGGACTCAGTGCTAACTGTGTTGATGATCTTGTAGAATTACTGAAGTTCCAGCAGTTAGGTTATTCATTTAATGGACATTGGGCACTTTTCTATTTATTTTAGAGTAAGTTGCTTCTTAACTAACTCTATGGACCGACTAACCTATCAAGATATTAAATATTAGTAGGAAAGGATCATGTTTTTAAGCAGCAGGTCCAGGTCACTTTGTATATAGAATTTTGTTAAGTTTAATAAATCTGTTTGGAAGAAAATTTGAATCATTCATGGGTTCTTGAAACTCTTTATCATATGTTCTTTTTTTCATTATCAAACTGTTATTTTTATCAAAAAGGTCTGTGTTCTAAACTACTTGTATTTCAAAAGCTTCACAAAATGCCTATATTCTCTCAGAAGTGTCCATGGATATTTAAATCAAACATACTCCTACCTCATGATAATAACTAATACTATCAAGCACTCACAGTTGACCCTTGAACTACATGGGGTTTAGAGTGCTAACCCTTCTGCCCGCTGTATGGTTGAAAACCTATGTATAATTTGACTCCTTAAAAACTTCTAATAGCTACAGCTAACTTGAAGCCTTGCCAATAGCATAAATAAAGAAGCCACTTGACACATATCTTGTATGTTACATGTATTCTGTATTCTTAAAGTAAGCTAGAGAAAAAAATGTTATTAAAAACATAAGAACTAGGCACAGTGGCTCACACCTATAATCCTAGCACCCTGGGAAACCAAGGCCGGTGGATTGCTTGAGCTCAGAAGTTCAAGACCAGCCGGAACAAGAGTGAGAGCTCTCAAAAAAAAAAAAAAGCCGGAACGCTCATGGTGGTGGCTCATGTTTATAATCCTAGCACTTGGGAGACCCAGGTGGGTGGATTGCCTGAGCTCATAGGTTTGAGACCAGCCTGAGCCAGAGCGAGACCCTGTCTCTAAAAAATAGCCAGGTGAAGCTGGGCACTGTGGCAGGTGCCTGTAGTCCCAGCTACTTGGGAGGCTGAGGTAAGAGAATCACTTAAGCCCAAGAGTTTGAGGTTGCTGTGAGCTGTGATGTCAAGGCACTCTACCCAGGGCAACAGCTTGAGTCTGTTCAAAAAAATAGCTGGGCGTTGTGGTGAGCATCTGTAGTCCCAGCTACTTGGGAGGCTAAAGCAAGAGGATCACTTGAACTCAAGAGTTTGAGGTTGCTGTGAGCTATGACATCATAGCTCTCTACCAAGAGTGACCAAGTGAGACTGTCTTACAAAAAAAAATAGCCAGACATTGTGGAGGGGCACCTGTAGTCCAGCTACTTGGGACCCTAAGGCAAAAAGAATCACTTGAGCCCAAGAGTTTGAGGTTGCTGTGAGTTGTGATGTTACGGCACTCCACCAAGGGCAACAATGTAAGACTGTCTCAAAAAAAATAAAAACATCTTAAGGAAGAGATACGTTTACTATTAAGTGGAAGTAGATCATAAAAGTCTTCATGTTTGTCATCTTGACGTTGAGAACCCTGAAGAGGAGAGGTCTTGCTGTCTCATGGGTGGCAGAGGTGGAAGAAAAACCAAATATAAGTGAATAGGGACCAACAGACTCACCATTCAGACTTAGATTCCAACTTAAAGCCTGTGCTCTTAACACCCTCACCACCAAGGCAGTTGGGTTGTCAGCAAACCATTTGAAAGCATAGGTCAATGTTCTCTTCAACCTTTATTTCTCAAGTAGGCACAAAAGACCTCAATTTGTTGAATTTGTAATTGCTGTTACTTTGTAATAACATTTTTAATAACATTTGATGATATAAAAAAATCTCCAGAATATTATTCATCTAAAAATATGAAGTATACACAAGTATAAGGTACTATGTGAGGACAGCAAAGATTTTTGAATAAGACATGGGTCTAGCCCTTGAGCTTGTAATTTTTTTTTGGAGACAGGGTTTCAATTTGTCACCCTCAGCAGAGTGCTATGTTATCATAGCTCACAGCAACCTCAAATTCTTGGGCTCAAGTGATTCTCTTGCCTAAGTCTCCAAGTAGCTGGAACTACCAGCACCTGCCATGATGCCCAGCTATTTTTAGAGATGAGGTCTTTTTTTTTTGGTAGAGACAGCATCTCACTTTATCGCACTTGGTAGAGTGCTGTAGCTCACAGCAACCTCCAGCTCTTGGGCTTAGGTGATTCTCTTGCCTCAGCCTCCCGAGTTCAGCTGGGACTAAAGGTGCCCGCCACAACACCTGGCTATTTTTTTGTTGCAGTTTGGCTGGGGTCGGCTTTGAACCCACCACCTCAGTTTGAACCCACCACCCTGGGGCCAGCACCACCCTAGAGATGAGGTCTTACTCTTTTTTTTTTGAGACAGAGCCTCAAGCTGTCACTGTGGGTAGAGTGCTGTGGCATCTCAGCTCACAGCAACCTCCAACTCTTGGGCTCCAGCGATTCTCCTGCCTCCACCTCCCAAGTACTAGGATTAGCTGGGCACCTGCCACAACCCTGGGCTATTTTTTGGTTGTTCAAACCCGCCAGCTCAGGTGTATGTGGCTGGTGCCTTAGCCGCTTCTTGCTCAGTCTGGTTTTAAATTCCTGGGCTCAAGAAATCCACCCACTTTGGCCTCCCAGAATGCTAAGCTCCCAAATCTGGCCAAGCTTGTACTTTTGTTTTTGTTTTTGTTGTTGAGATAGTATCACTATGTCACCCTTGGTAAAATGCCTTGAGGTCACAGCTCACAGCAACCTCAAACTCTTGGGCTTGAGCAATTCTTTTGCCTCAGCCTTCCAAGTAGCTGGGACTATAGGTGCCCACCACAATGCCCAGCTATTTTTTGTTGCAGTTGTCATTGTTGTTTTTAGCTGGCCCGGGCAGGGTTCGAACCCACCAGCCTTGGTGTATGTGGCTGGTGCCATAACCATAGTGCTATGGGCACTGAGCCCCAAACTTGTACTTTTTTTTTTTTCTTTAGGACACAATAAAATTTGCTTTAATATTTCTTTGGGGAAGAAAATATCGTACTTTTAGTGAATGAACAAGAAACATTTTTAGAGTAGCAGTAGGCTATTATTTTTATCTACCATGCCATGAATTCATAAGGAACAGGTTCCAGTAGCTCAGGGAGGCACCTTGCCATTGAATGTGACAAAGTGTGGATTGACTTTTGAATTCATGGGAAATAGGTTCCAGCACCTTGTATCACTGTTACATGGGTTCTATTGGTTATCCTGTGTGCTATGCTGGACACCTATTATGCCATGAGCTCATGGGGAATAAATAGGTTCTTGCACCTAAAAGCATGGGTCCACTGATACTCCTGTGTGCTATGTTATATGCTTTATGCCATGGATTCATAGGGAATGGGTTCCAGGAGCTCAGGCTCCTTTCCATTGGTTCTCACAAAGTGGGCTTCTCTGGGTG